CTCTCTCTCTCTCTCTCTCTCTCTCTCTCTCTCTCTCTCTCTCTCTCACTCACACACACACACACACACAGAGACACCTTTCAAAGTAACAGTCAAAAGTCAAAACACTTGCTTAGGACACTAGGGCACAGCCTCAATTTCAGGATGGCTGACTCAGGTGCGCAAGGATGGGCATAGTTTTGTGTGAAGAAAAACAAACAAGAATAGTTACTGTTAACTTTTGAGGGACGAAACCACAGATTTTATACTCTGTTAACTGAGGTAGTGTTTAAAATGAATGTCTAAAATGTTAATCCCATTTATGAATAAGACTACATTACTTCCTTTGGAATTGTAACCACTATTTGGTCTAGTATCTCTGACATTTGGTTCTCTGGAAAGGCAGTTTTATTGTCCAAGACCAAAGACCAAGGTGACAGGCATGCTCTTAGAAGCACTGCTGACATTTAAATGAACACGGGTTCAGTGATGAAGTTGAAAAGAAAGTTTTACCCTCACTGAATTTTCTAAGAAAATGAGAACTGTGTCGTAACGTGAGCAGCAGCTTAGAGCCCTTGTCTGCTTTGTTATCATGGAAGTTGCTACACAGTGCACATTAGAACAACTCGCTGAAGTGCAGTCAAAGAGGAGTCAAAGAGGAAGGGGGATGAAATGCTTCATCCCAGTGCGAACTTTCAGTGCCAGCAAATGAAAAGAAAAATTTCTGTGAGTCCTGTTTTCTAGTTCACAGGGTACTTTACAGCGATCTTGCAAACAAGACCATTATGAGAAGGGTGGACAGCATGGGAAGGCATGGACCAATGTCTAGGACCTGTTCAAAGCTGATGTGCAATTGTAAAATGGACAACACAAAGGAATCACAAAGGGTCCTAGTCAGTCCAGCTGGATGGTCTGTTCTCTATATATGATTTCAAAACAGGATAACCTTTCACGGATAAGCATTCTAGTAACAATGTTCATGCTACTTATGTACAAATTTGCATATATGTTTAATTCCTGTAAGATTTCCAAGTATCTTTATACATAAACAAATTAGACAAAACCATGCCTTAATCAACTTCACAAATGTGATCAAGGCAATGACTGTACTTTTAACTCACCTATAACTGCAATTTATGCAAAACAGGAACACTAACAAAAATTAAATTATCGCTGCTTTAAAACTTAGTAATTAAGGCTTTTCACTACAATTTTAATCTTAATAACGAGTCCAAATGACTTTTAATAGGACCTATGGCTCTTCCTTTTTCCATGGAATGTGTACATTGTAGGCAAACTTGTCCTTGAGAGATCGCAGCATCATTTAACGCTTTCCTTTGCTTTGGGTCCAGACTACTAACGCTTGTTCAATCCTTTACAGTGGTGAGAAGAGTTGATGAGGTTGGAAGTCCACTGGGTATAAGTGTTCTGGACATGAGAAGTATTTCAAATTTACTATTTATTTGATCACAACTGTAGTGAAAAACCTTAATTAGTAAAAATAGCCTTTAACAACATATTGCAACAAACCTGAAGAGGAGAACCGATAAGCATCCTTATGCAGTCGAGCATCGTGTAACTCCTAAGTTCCGAGAGTTGCGGCTCTCCTTTTGCTCTGAAGTTACAAACCTCTGAAGTAGTGTTACAAACATTAAGGAAGTGTGGAAAGGCCAGCGTGTTCCTCGGATACCAGCAGTGGCAGCCCATGGGGTAACAGGATGCAGCCTCAGAGTCAGTGACTCCTGGTTTCCACAAATCAGTTAACAAACAAGGCATCTTTTGTATTTACCCTTGATTAAAGAGCATTCAGGAACACTGTGTGAAGGATGCTTCTTCATGTCCTGTTTTGTTCCACTGCCATTATGCTTTTAAAATAAAAAAATAGAAAACCTATGCAGGTAGTCAGTGCTTGGCTCTTGCGTATGGTGGTAACTGGATGAAAACTGTGGTAATGAATCAGGGACCCGGGAAGGGCCCACATGGGAGAGATGTTGGCTTGGCTAGGACGCCAGCAGCTCCAGCTTGTCTGTACCAGGAACTGCTGACCCGTGTCAGAAAATTCTCCGGCCTCACTGTCAGCCAGTCTGGATTTTGTGAGGATTTTAGGAAATCCACAAGTATGAATACTATACAGTAAGTATGTAGCTATCAACATCATCAATGAGGTCAGGACTCGGCAGAGTCATCAACTACAGGCTGACTGGGAATTGCCAACACAGCCTCGGCTTCTTCATGCATCTAGGAAAAGGTCATAGTTTTTTAAAAAAATGAAAATGGCATATAATATAGACATAATCTTTCAACTTACTTCAAATACAGAATAATTCTGGGAGACAAATTTCAGAAATATAGTCTTACTTACCTGTAAAAACTGTACATCCTGAAATAACTCTTGTATGAACCTCCGGCATGGAAGTCTAAATGTGCAGTGTGACAACAGATGAGAAACTTCAGAATAAAGGCATATGTCATCAAATGTTTGAGGATACTTCTCTTTAATGCTAAAATGAAAAGAGAGACTATGTCATGATAAAAATATAACATTTATTCATTTTATCCCCCCAAATGACACTTTCTCCTAATTTTTTTCTCTCTTCAATTACTGATGAGATGAAATGTTAGGAACAGGAGGAAATGTTAGGAATGGTGGCTTAACAGTCTAAGTCAGCCTGTCTGTCTGTCTGTCTTCCAGCCTTGCCCAATGCCTCCATGCCTCCTGCACTCCTGATCGTCCTGCCGCTATCATCCAGTGCCAGGATTACATGTGGATGCCACCACACCCAGCTAATTACGAAGCCTTTCTACTTCACACTTCAGACAGTTCCAGTTTCTGCTTTTCAAAGATTATCAAAATCTGAATGCTTATTGTAAAGTTATTTTCCAGTAACACAAGGAAATTCTGGATTTTATTTATTAGACTAACATGAGTACACAGCACGCTCACATTGGAAGGCATTTAAAGCTCATTCCAAGTTATAAGTTATCTCTGGCTGACTATCTTTCCATGAGGACAGCGCCTCAGAGGCAGCCCTGTGGGTGGGCGGCTGGGCTGCAGGCCTCACTCTCGCAGCCCTGGACCACACAGCCAACACGCATACATGGAAACCCATGCATGTATCCTTCTTTAGACAACCACTGCTTTAAGCCGTGCAAATGAAGGTGATTGAGTCACAATTTTCATTTATCAGGTTTTGACTTAGGAACACAAGTTGATCAGGAAATCCCAGCAGTTTATTATCTAAGTGTGCTTCTCACGCATGTGGTCTTCTGCTCTCTTTGTTCTTCCTCAACTTTCTTGAAAAACGATTGAGAAATTGAAAAGGGTTTTTTTTGGATATGTGAGTTATAGCCACCAACAATTACTTCAAAAACTGGAATTTAGAAATTTTAAAAACATTTTATAGCTTAAATAGTAAGTTATTTAATTAAAACCCCAATTTTACCGAAACAAAAAGGGGGGAGGGTGCAGGAACAGTCCTGCTTTTAGATATAGTTTCCAGTTTTGCAGATTTGTTTAAAAGTCTGGCTGGATCCCAACTCACTTTTGCCTTCAATGCGCTCTACAGAGTGAGGTGTACCACAGCGAACAAGGCCCACCCAGAGGTGGGAAGGCAGCCTGTGACTGCAGCTATGGAGTACAAGTATCTCTTTTACAACTTACAAAGTAGAACAACCTTCATGCAGTTACTTACGTCAAAAGCCCAGTCTCATGACACTTGGTGGAGACTGAGCTACTCAAGTTGACGACTAATCTTAGCACTTCTTTCCGCAGCAGGATCCGGCACATCGGTGTATCGTCTGGGATGGTTTTAACACCTGAAGTGAAGATGGCACTGTGAGGTCTCTTACTGTATTACAATGTAGAATGATTACAGCTCATGGAATTTATTTTTACACTGCATAAGCAGCTAAAACTGGAATCAGCTGCATGTGATCTGCTAATGATCTCGGAGCAAACCTCTACCAGAAGCAGATCACTGACAGGGAACCGGCGGATGGATGACACAGGTGAAATATTTAAGAGTCTGCTAAATGCTTTCACTAATGGTGACCTGCATAGTCTGAGACAACTCTAATTACAGTGCATATGCTAATAAGCAAAATCAACTGAGGACTGTTTTATTAAGGAGCAGGAAGCTGAACCTCAAGACTCACCCAGTAACAGCTCAGTGCTTTTGGTGCTGCTAGCTGAGCCTTCTTCCTGAGACGCGCCATCGCTGCATCCAGAAATCCCCGAGAACTTAGAGGGAACCACTTCTAAGGGATTGTGGATCGGCTGCTCACACCAATCAGAGTACGGAATATCTTGAAGGTCTGAAGACAAAAGCATTTGGATCAAAGCTCCACTCTTACAATAGCACTGCACACACTGAGGTAACTCCTTCCCATTCTCATGATCTCTCTTCAGGAAGACTGTCAAAGTAAGCCTGGATCGCTCAGTGATGAGCATTCCAACAAGGGAACCTGCCTGTTCTAGAGAGTTGATTTTCCTAATAACAAACACTGCAGGACTACGTGTGTGACTGAAACTCAAGCAGTTATATATAAAAAGGGAACAGGCATTACTGTTCTCTCTTGACCCATCCTGTCTACCTCTGCGTTGTCTGGCAGTAGATATTATTACCAGTAGAAGGTGATGTCAGATCTCTTCCTAGCGTAATTTTTCTTTTTTTTTTTTTGCTCTTCTCTCTGAGCACTGCTAAGGCCCCACAGTGGCATTCTGAAGTCAACCAAACATGTAAGCTAAGATACTTTTTTAGTTTAGAAATGTCGAGGGCATGGAGTGGTTGGATGGTTCAACGGGTAAAAAGTGCCTGCTGCTTTGCCTTCTTACCCTAGTCCAACTCCAGGGCCCACAGAGTGAAAGGAGAGAACTGCCTCCCTCACTTGTCCTGATCTTCAAGTGAGCTCTGTGGCACTTGCACACTGGCACACACATGCAAGTGTGGGACACAAACACACTCAAGAACAAATTTTTAAAAATGTACTAAAAAAATTTACTAAGAACTAAAATCAATGAAAACAAAAGGAAAACAACTAAACAAAAAACCCCTGATGGATCATCTCTTCACAGAAAGTAACATTAGCCATGCTACAAAAGTCACACAACACAATGGAAATAAGCTAAACATTTCACTAGGGAATAAAAAAGTGAACCAGACAGGGACACTGAGCTAGAAAAGTAAGACCTTTGCAAAGCTGGCCTGTTATTCTTTCTTTATAATACCAATGGGAGAAAAGGAGGTTCAACTTTATCCAAGTTCCTACAAGATAAACACTGCACTACATTTTATTCCACCAAGAACTTCTAAGATTACTACTTCCATTAAGTCAGCTGTGCTAGTTTTACGTCAACTTGATAAAAGCTAAAGTCATCTGAAAGAAGACAATCTCAACTAAAAAAAAATTCTTCCATGAGACTGGGCTGTAGGCAAGCCTGTGAAGCATTTTTTAAATGACTGATTGATGGAAGAAGGGCCAGCCCACTGTGGGTGGTCCTGGGCTCTGTAAGAAAGCAGGCTGAGCAAGCCACCAGGAGCAAGCCAGTAAGCAGCACCCTTCCATGTCGTCCGCAGTCCCTGACCTGCCTTCCTCTGATGATGAACTGTGACTTGCAGAGCTGCCTGCCTGCCCTCTGCCTCCCTAGTGCTGGGATTAAAGGTGGGTGCCATTATGCCAAACTGGTAAGAGTAATTTCCTAGCAGACATGTAGTTTGCAAGTATTTGTTTGATTTGTATAGGTTTTCATTCACTTATTTTACTCCATAAAAATATCTTATCATAGCTTTGGAAATTCTCACTCTTGGCCTTTCAAGACAGAGTTTCACTGTGTATCTCTATTTGTCCTGGACCTCACTCTTTGACCTCAGAAATCTATGTGCTTCTGCCCCTGAGTGCTGACATCAAAGGCATGTGCCACCACCACCCAGCTATACGCCCTCTTTCCTATGGTGTGTAGAACATCTAACATTTTACAAATGCTCAAAAGGTAATCATAAATAAACACATTTGTAAAAACAGAAACCCATCACAGTATACAGAGGCCCCGAGGGTCCAGAGTGTGAAACGTCTAGTTTAGGAATCTCTCCAATTCAGGCTTGTACTGGGACTTGGAACCACTGACAGGGTGGATCAGGTTCTAAGCACACTCTCCAACTATTTTTTGCAAATTACAGCAAGCACATTGCTGACTGGTGTCTCCTTAGTACCATCAGCTGACATAGTCACAAGCTGGGAAGTAATGAAATCCTAGGGGTAACTTCAGCAGAGTCAACCAGAGAACTCTGACATCACTAGACTTCTGAGGGTACCTAAGTGATACTTACCAAAAAAATGTATCTGCATGAGCATTTTATATTTTTGGTTGTGAGCCTAGCCTTTAACAGCCGAACCATCTCTCCAGTGCATCTGCCTGAACATTTTAAACACTAACTGAAAGTGTGTGTGTGTGTGTGTGTGTGTGTATGTATGTGTGTGTGTCCACACGTGGGTGATTCGTCTTTAAGAAACTCACTACCTGTATCCACCTCATTAACTCCTTCTCTAATAGACAAATATGGAAAGCCTAGTGTACAAAGCAGCTGCTTCTCTTAGAGACATGCAAACGAAGAGACGACAGCTCACACTCGGAGGAAAGTCAGCATGGGGAGCTTAGGAAGCATCCAGCGATCAGAGCCATGATCTAAGGGATCGGAGCACAAGGGGCAGAAGGAGCCAAGAGGAGCAGCTTCTACACATGGCTCAGGAACTCGGACTTTCAGACATGACACTAATGAGGAGGCAGATCTTCCAGACAAACTACACGTGTTTATGTAAGAGCATTCGTGTGGGAGAGTGAGTGAGTGAGTGAGTGAGTGAGTGGACACACTGGTGAGTGTAGCTGGGAAAACAGCCTTCATTTGCCGCAGCTGTTGAAAACTTAGGCATGGTCTACCAATGATAAGAAATGAGAATGATGAAACCCACAGAACATAGAGTGATTATCTGTGGGGCTACAGACTCAGTAAACAATTAAACAGAGTAATCTTAAACAATATATTAAAAGACAAAGTGGAGAGAATCAAAACTCGAGGCTGAAAGACTAACAATAGGCAGATGCTGAAGGGCCACCATGTCTGAGGTGGGAGATGGAGTCAGAAGGCCATCACAGCAGTGGTAGGGCTGCTGGCAGGCTTGTCAACAGTGTGGAGTGAAATCAAAGGACACTCACCGGAGTGACTACAGATGGAACTTAGCTGGTTACTGGGCTGGAAGCCCAGGATTTCAATGCAGACACAATAAAGGCAATTGTCATCTGTGTGCTCCTGCAGTCCAGTGTCTTCAGTGCTCTCTAAGAACAGAGAAGCGTCCGAATGGACGGAGTTCATTATTTCTGTGAGACTCATCTGCTGCCGCAACAAGTGAAAAGAGTTCTTCACAAGTCCGCCGGTTCCAGAGGAAAGACCTGCATGTTTAAATAAGACACTGTTGGTATCTTTCTCATGTCTTAAAATAGTACTGTTTATAAAGATAAATATTTAGAACTCTCTATGACCCAACATCTAATTTTGATTAGGAATAAAAGAGAATACTGTATTTTAAATTATGAAAATTAAAATAGCACATATTCCTTTATTACTTCAATGTAAGGCTTTTAAAATACAACTGAAAAATAGATTATTATCGTAGTATTTCAATTAACTCTCATAAATGCTTAAACAAAATCCGTAATTCTAAGAGGTATAAATTAAAATGATTATAAAGCTATTGAGTCTATGCTTCATTTGCACATATTCACTAAAATTCATAGCACAGAATAAAAAGTGTGACTAATAAGCAATTCTCATCTTTCACTCTGAACAGCTGTGTCTCTGACCTACAAAACTAGTTTTAACATTTCTCTTGTACTTTAAAAAAATGAAAGAACTAGTCTGGATTTTATCAGCTTAAGAGGCTGAGATCCTCACTGCACAAATATTTTCTTAAAAAACTGTGCTTTACTGTTGCCTGTACATGGGATATGCTCTTCTAGCTGGGCTGCCTTGTTTGGCCTCAGTGAGGGAAGAAACAACTAGCCTTAACAGAGACTTGAAGTGCCAGGGCGGGGTGTGGGTGGGGGTAGGTGGGGGTAATACACTCAGGGAGGCCCCAGGTGCTCAGAGAAGCGGTTTGGGGGGAAGGTTTGGGGGGAAGGTGTAGGAGGGAGTGACTGGGAGGGGAGCAGTGAACAAGATGTGAAGTGAGTAAGTAAAAAATACAATAAAATTTTTAAAAATGTGCTTTAATTTTTAGTTGAGTGTACTATTTTGGTTTAGTGTTTAAGTAAACACCAGAGCTTAGTGCACCTAATTTTTAGTGTTATCTCACTAAAAATAGCATTTCATTTTTAAGGTAAGAAGTCTCAAGAGAACAAGGAGCGCACATTACCTCCTCCATCATGGGAAAACATTCTTGCACCTCGGTCATCTGGTGGAGGCACATGCTTTGATTGAAAATAAGGAATATCCTTTATCTAAAATGCATACAAATCATGGTCAGTTTCATCATATAAAGAAATTCATCTTATGAATATTAAGAAAATTAAAGGAAATGCAATAGAAATAGAATTACTGTAGCATATAAATCTAGAAAGCAAAGTTTATTAAAGATCATTAAAATTACCAGAATATAACTAAATACTGGTCTCTTAACCATGTTCCTGGTGAACTGAGTGGGTATTCAAACACTTTATTGTTTATCTAAAGTCCCTAGAGGCAGGGGAGCTTCCAGTGGGTTAAGGGTGCTTGCTGTACAAGTATGAGAACCTGAGCTTCAATCTCCACCATGCACATAAACACTAGGTGTGTACATGTCTTGTGCCTGTCAAACACGGCTGTGAAGGCTGGAGACAGACTGACTGCGACGAGGGCTGGCTGCCAGCCTAGCTCCAGATTCTAGGAGCACTCCCATGTCAAGGGAGTAGGGCAAAGTACTAAGCAGGAAGACTTACACATTTCTGTCTACTGCAGGCATGTGGACCTACACACACACACATGTATCCACAGCACACACACTTCTACTATACAAAGAAAAATAGACTGAAGAAATAATAAACAGTCATCTAAGAAAATCTGTATTGTCCAGCATTATTACATGCAACTAGAAACTGCACTATCTCATGGCAGCAGGGCTACTGTACATGGACACCATAAGTGGCTGCTCGAGAAAAGGAATCAAAGCCTAAAGCACACCAGTCAGTCAGAGAGGACTGCTCTAGAGACTGCAGCTTCTAAAGAGGAGCACAGAAGAGCTGACTACGAATACAGTGCAGCTCAGAGTGTGGACTTGTCTCATCTTAACACATTTTTAGATAAAAATCACCTTCCAAACCTATCATTCCCTTAGTGTATCCTCTATGAAGTACAATTTCTAGGAGCTACAGAACACTAAAAAACAAAACAAAACAAACAAGAAGCCAGCTCACAGAAAACAGTAGCACTTTGGATACCTGGAATATGTCATTGATGTCGACTGGAAGCGCAAGTCCAATGTAGTCATCGGAACCTCCATATGTAGCACTGGACACCATGGACCTAACTGAGGAGGATCGCTGAAGGGTATTTTGATTAATAGGACTTAATAAATCTTCTTTATCTAATGATGCATAACTTAAAGCTTTCATAAACCTGTAACATCACAAAAAACCCTTGCATTAGCTTCTTGATTTGCACTAGTGAGTATATTAAAAACAATGAAAACCCCCAATTGATACTACCATCAAAGTAGGTAGTAAACCAGCAAGCAGTCCCACCTCCACCTACTGTGAACACGAAAGCACTTTAACATTAGCAGCTATGTATCAATGACCAGGTCAGCAGGAATGGAATGCTGACAATGTAACAACTGTTATATCCCCAGGTAAAGATGAAAAGGTAGGCAAAGAGAATAATGTCAACATTCAGAAGAAAGGAAACTAGCCTACAGATAAGTACAGCTCAAAGTCTGCCTCTGCACACAGCAGAGAGGCTGGACTTGCTATGTTGTATAGCTAAAGATGTGTCTACTAACGCCAAGTAATATATGTTTGAAAAGTAAGATTAGCAGCTTATCAAACCTGTGTGCTAATTAATGCTGTCATTCTCACAAGATTTCTATAACACAGAAGGTACGTGCACCACAGTAAAATCCTATCATTTGTAAACATTACAAGGGCTATCTCACAGAACACTAGTCTTTCTTTACAAATGATTCCATCCCATGGCATAGGGACATTTCTGTAAGTTAAACTCTGTCATACTCGGTGCTATTCATGCAGAGACACTGTTTACTGTGCATGCCTTGTTAAATATATGAAACACTGTTCAAAGTCTTACTAACTAGAAAACCAAGTCTTAAAAAACGTACAAATGTAAATCAAAGGATTATTTCACGCAGATCACATAAAAGAAATATCGGTTTGATATAGTAGCCAGTAAGATTACAGAAACAAAAACAATTTCTAATTTCCAAAAAAAGTACTTGCTTCTGATCTTTATGAATTTTGTGAACAAGAAATGTTTTTCAATGGTAGATCTTTCGTTGTGCAAAGCTCTTCAGGGACTACTGGACTTGGGAGAATTATTCAAGTGTCTACTTTCCAATTCTATTTCAGTCAGCTATAGCTCCATTTTGAACTGCATTGTTTATTGAGTTTGTATAGATATCCTTCAGTACGAAAACAGTATTTTTTCTGCTTAGAAAGTAACATTTTAAAAGTTTAAAACCACTGATCTAGCCTAGTCTCTAGTAGCTGAGTTTACCGAGGCCCACACAGCCTAATGCACCAGCTCTGCTGCTTGGTTGTCGCCCTCCATCTATGCCTTCTATCTGTGGTCTAGATTCAGGAAGACGGCAGAACCAGTGACTTCTAGTTACAACAGCCATTATTATCATTTTCTTTAAAGATGGGACAAAATTCCCTATCTGCTACCAGGACCTTCTTTATTAAAAATGTTACTAAAAATCAGAAATAAGACTGATCAATTACATAAGTAACTCCCAATTCTGACAGTGAGAATATCCTGTAAATGAGGGCTTATTTTCTCTTTCCCAGATAGTGGAGTAACTACTTGACATCCAGCAGCCTGCTTAAAGAAGTATAAATCATTTAAATGGATATAATTCAACTATGAGAATTCTGACAACAACAAACGCAGGTGTGGAACTTTTTACAACAATCAAATTTCAAAGTGTATCACTGTAAAAAAAATGAACCTAAACTGTACTGTTATAGTTTGGTATACCCTTAATATGGAATATTTAATATAAAATTAGAAACTCTTAGTCTTGAGGACCCAGGAACACTTCATTTAGTGTTTATTAGGTTCCTATTTAATTATGTGTACTAAGACAAATTAAAATAATTTAACTGAAGTTTTCAGTTATTTTAAAAAATATTATGAGGTCAGCTTTTGGAGCTTTCAATTGACCTGCTGAAAAGGTTGTGTGTTACTGTAGGTCTTAAGCTCCTGATTCCCCCGACATGCTTCTTTTTAAAATTGATCCTTAGAGAAGCTAGAAATAAAAAAAGCTTGTGACTTGTGTAACCTTGGAAAACATGTTTATTTTCAGGGCCTAATGGAGTTTACTTTCCCCCCTCGCAGCTGCAAGAATCCATTTCAAATCCTATCGGGTAACGAGGAGCTCACGGCCTACTGTGGTAAATGGGTCAGTTCTGACACTTGGTCTCTGTGGTGCTCAAGCTGACTGACGTCTTACATTTCAATCTGTTAAAACTGAACCACTTTGACTCATTTTTCAGTGCGTGTTGCTCACCTGCTTGGCGTCAGTCTGGATTCAAAGCTGCTGGCCTTCATGGTGATGGTGTCCGTAAAGAGCACATCTTTTGCAGGCGACGCCAAAGCTTCCGAGTGAGACAAGGACGGGTGCATTCTTTGCTGCTGTAATCTTTTCAATGTAGCATAGCCAAAGGCATCTCTAGAACTTGTGTAGCTGAAGTTGCAATCTGCTAGACTTTTTATTGTTGCAATGGAGGGCGCTTTAAGGGACTGTGCTCTTCTAGGAAGGGTATGAGAAGAACCTGGTGGCACCAGGGACACTGAGTTCGATTTGGAGAGAGACAGATGGTTAGACTGTGGTGTCAAATAGTGGCTCGTCTTAACAGTTTTAGTACTTACCACAGTACTCAGACTTCCACAGTCTGTGTCCATAGTTGTAGGGTCTACACCCACTGTCTCTCGGGAGGGACTGGAGCTCATTGAGCTGATCCCACTCGTTGTAGTGTCTGTGTTAAAGCTCTGGCTGCGGATCTTCATCTGTGAGCCTGTCGAGCTTTCCACTGCCAGCCTTTCTCGGCTTGTGTTTTCTCTGTGATTCTCTGTACCAAAACTCCTGGGGAATTTTAAGTCATTCTCTCCAATACTTGGAGTGCTTCCAGTGTCTTCAAGGTGCTTATTCCCAACAAAGGAAGTTTCTAGCTGTAATGTTTTCTGCGCTGAGGAGATAGTTGTGAAGTCGTCACTGTGACTGAAGTCAACACTGGGCTCTGTAAGTGTTCTGATTCTCCGGTTGCTTGTCTTATTTTCAGACGACAGTTTTCCTCCTTTTGGATCACTGCTACTGCGGTGCTTTTTAGTAGGCAAAGTAAGTGAATTTAAGATACGATTCTTTACAAGTTTGCTAGAGGCAAAAAAGGGAAATGAATTTTTATCTTTTATGGGTCCAGGTCGGTCATAAAACGCTGGTTCGGCATCTTCATTGATGTCAAGGAAAAATGTACTGGTAGAGGTGCTGCCAAAGCGGTCATCCTCCAGTATGAACATGCCTGTAAGTGAACAATCCGCTATCAAAGCATGCAAACATGAAGAATTCACCAGAATGCTAAGTGCTACCCCATCTTTTAACCAGTCATGGGGAAGGAAATTAATTAATAAAACTGCTTCCCTGAAGCTCAGAGTTGAGATATGAATAAAAAATAGAAGACTGTATTTGTATCATGGTGAGGATCTATGAAAAAAAACCTCCAAGGCTAATCCTGGTACAGAGTATATAAAGTTTCTATTGATTTTTCCAAATATTCAAGATACAATGAAAGGACCCTCAAGCATTGATGCTCAGTCTGTTAGACAGAAGCAACATGGTTTCTTCTTTACAGTGACAGGAGACACTCACCTCAGAAGAAATGAATTCCCTAAACTTGAAATATACTGCAGCTCTACTCATCCGAGTTATGCACATATGGGTTCAACTAAGCAGAGACCAAAAATATTCATGGAAAGGTGCTTATATTAAACATGTTCATGTCCCTTTCTTCTTATTATTTCTTAAACAATTAAGATGAAAACTTACTATTAAGCACCCAGATTGGGCATTATAAAGGCTCTAAAGATGATATGAAGTATTTAGGTGATCCAATTAGTGGGTTCTGGTACTGAGGTGGGAGCCTGGGCTCTCTCACAGATATGAAATGATATCTGCACTTCCAGAGAATAAGGGCACACATGTAAGCTTCACATTTAAACCAATTATGCTCACTGTCCTTATATGTTAGTCTCATTCTTAGTGTCTAATTGTAATAGACCAGTTAACCTAGATGTCTGTTTAATGGTACCTGTAAGATTTATTCTATTTGTAACTGTTCTACTGAGTAATTATTAAGAACTTTAAATATACTTTGAATAAAAAGAGAAAGTAAACTCCTGAATAAGCTTGCAGATTATACTGGCTTTCTATATTCCACAACTCTAAGATATAGCTTTCATATGAAATTTCTCAGGAATCCATCATGTAACAAAGAGTATGGAGAAGTGTAAGGGGCAAGATTTTTTTTTTTTCTTGTTGGATATGAACATTAGTACATCTTATAATTCAAGGCACCACAGACTTGGGGTGGAATATGGTTCAATAACTGTATGACTATCTTTACTTTTTGAGATACAATTTTATGCTGTAGCCTATTTGGCCTCAAGTTCACCATGAGCTCCAACTAGTCTTAGCAATCCTCAAGCACTCAGGTCTAAGGGCTGTGGCTAAAAAGGTGTACTTGCAGATCCAACCTCCCTCCTTTCTTTCCTGGTACTGAACACAAACCTCCCTCATCTACTTGTTCACGTTGGTCTTGGACTTATCCTGTAGCCTAGACAGGCCTTGTGGTCCTCTAGCGAGAGCATCCTGAGGCCTGGGCAACCATGTCTAGTTTGTGTTATCTACTGTGTTGTTGCTACTGTTGTGTTGAGACAGGGTTTCTCTGTGTAACAGCCCTAGCTGTCCTGGAACTTGCTTTGTAAACCAGGCTGGCATGTAAAACACAGAGACCCACCTGCCTCTGTCCCCCCTCCCGCACTGTGCTGGGATTAAGTGTGTGCCATCTTGCTCCCCCCCCACACACACACACACACTGTGCTGGGATTAAGTGTGTGCCGTCTTGCTCCCCCCCCCCACACACACACACTGTGCTGGGATTAAGTGTGTGCCGTCTTGCTCCCCCCGCTACACACACACACTGTGCTGGGATTAAGTGTGTGCCATCTTGCTCCCCCCCCCCACACCCCCACCCGGGCAGCTTGGTTCCCCCCCCTACACACACACACTGTGCTGGGATTAAGTGTGTGCCATCTTGCTCCCCCACACACACACACACACTGCCATCTTGCTCCCCGCCACACACACACACACACTGTGCTGGGATTAAGTGTGTCCCGTCTTGCTCCCCCCCCACACACACACTGTGCTGGGATTAAGTGTGTGCCGTCTTGCTCCCCCC